GCAAGGAGGGGTGGCCAAGACGGTGGTGCCACAGGAGAGTCTCGTGAGACAGGAGGCGACAAGAACAGGGGGCAGACTCAGGACCTGACCGGGACGCAGCAGCAAGTACCTGACCCGACGCAGCCACCTGACCAGACGCAGGGACAGGAGGAGACTCAACGGTCAGGGTGTAGAGACTCGACCCCGGCCGACGCGAGAACGTGGCCAGGTGTCGGCCTGTGCGTGCCTCCGTGCAGTGGGTCACCCGCTGACTCGCAGGAGTGAACTGGTGAACACCCCCATCGTGCAGGTCCGCTCCACTCACCAAGTTCGTGGAGAACGAGGGAAGGTACAGACCCGACAGGGTGCCCGAAGGGGCAGCCGGACACGGGAGGACAGTGGAGAAGTGAGACAGGACAGGACCTCCAGAGGGGTCAGCAAGGGAGACTGCAACCGGTCGGCCGAGCGGCGTAAAGGTAGTGCGGTCTCGAAAGAAGGAGCGAGAAGCTCCGGAGTCAAGTGTGAAAGTGAGGGAGGACGAGGACGACGCAGTACCTGAGAGCGCAGTCTCACCAGTACCTGAGAGCGCAGACGCACTGGCACCTAGAGCAGCAGCCTCACAAGCACCTAGCGCAGCAGTACCAATGCCCGGGTCGGGCTGGAAACAACGGTAACCCTCATTCTCCTCACTATAATCCACAACATACATAGCAGTAAGGATAGCATCAAAATCAAGATCAAAGATCGCTACACCAGCCCTGAGAAGCTCATCCCAGCGAGGGATCTCACTAGCCCCAGGGAACTGCTGACGCCAGGCGTCCGTCAGGCGGCCAAAGCAGCGCTGGGTGGCGTGGGCACCCCCACACTACTCACCCGCGCGGTCGCCGGAACGAAGAACGTAGGTGCAGGGACCAGTACCCCCACCCCTCTGACGCCCAGCGTACCACTCACGAAGCTGCTGAGGCGAAGGGATGTCCCGAGAGCGCTGCTGCTGCTGCCGCTGCGAGCGCTGGCCACCACCACCGCCGCTACGCTGCTGGGTACCACCCCGACCAGCTCCACCCCCTCCACCACCACTGCCTCCTCCGCCGCCGCCTCCACCGCCTCCACCTCCGCCGCCTCCACCCCCGCCGCTGCCTCCACCACCACCGCTGGCACCACCACTACTGTCCCCGCCGCTGCTGCCACCACCACCACCACCCCCGCCACTAGTCCCGCCGCCACCCCCACTCCCTCCGCCGCCACCGCCGCCACCGCCACCGCCCCCTCCAGCTCCACCCGCGCCCTTGCCCCCCTTGCCCTTGCTGGAGCGACGTCTCCCACTAGGGGCAGACGCCGCGCCGACCGACTCAAGACCAAGCAGGTCGGCAGCAGCAGCAGAGGCAACAGAGGGCAGCAAGGGGGAAGGAGAGCACCCCTCAAAGATGGGGGTGCGAGGGTCACCACGAGAAGCACCTACAGCGACTATGCTCTTCTCCGCTGCGAGGAGGGCCTTCTCGAGGAGGTCGACGGTGAGCGTGGTGGGGCAGACTGCGAGAAAGTGGTCCCTGACGACTCGAAGGGAGTCAGGGAGGCGCGCGACTACGTAGTAGAGAGCGATGTACATGGGGGGGGGGTTCTTAGCGCAGAACTCAGCAGGAAGGGCGGCGCGGTAGCGAGTGTCACTAGTGCGGAGATGCGTAATGAGGTCAGCGACAGTGGGAAAGGCAGAGAGGTCAGGAAAGAGGTAGGGAAGCATGAGACGGCTCAGTGCAGCAGTGGCAGGGGAGGAGTAGCGCGCAACTACAGCGTCGTACAAGGTCTGAGCACTCTTGTACTGACTGAAGTGCGCACGCTCAGAGGTAGGAAGGTGGCGACGCACAGCAAGACGTGCAGCAGCATCGCGGCTGGCCCACTTAGAGCGGACAGCGGGATCAGCATCAGTAGCAGGAGCAGGAGAGGCGCCAGAGGTGAGGTCAAAGAGAGAAAGGTCGTCAGCTCTGTCGCACTGTAAGAACAGCTGCAGGTCGTCTAGCCAGACCTCAAAATCAATGGCGCGACCCTCAGCGTCAAAAGCTAGGACACTTGGGGTAGCCATGACGACGACTGTGAAGCAGTGCAAGCAGTAGGGGGGAGAGCACGCAGTGACAGTGGGACTGTGCTCACCAGGCAGGGCAGGTCGCGTAGCTCGACAGAAGGGCAGCTCGGCGACCGGGCGGCTCGGGTGCACAGCGGCTCGGCTCCCGGGCGGCTCGGCGGCAGGGCAGCTTGGGGGCAGGGCGGCTCGGCTCCCGGGCGGCTCGGCGACAGGGCGGCTCGGGTGCAGGGCGGCTCGGCTCCCGGGCGGCTCGGCTGCAGGGCGGCTCGGCTCCCGGGCGGCTCGGCGGCACAGCTGCTCAGAGGTCCGCCCGCACAGTCGCTACAGGTGGACGGCGGGGCCGATGCGTAGTGGGCGGCGAAGCCGCGGTTGAGCAGGCGGCGGCCGCAGCCTAGTGGGCTGGGAGGCCGCGGTCGTAGCAGGCGGCGGGGCCGTGCGAGCAGGCGGCTGGGGCCGCGGTAGTAGGTGGGCGGCGGGGCCGCGCGAGAAGACGGCCGGGGCCGCTACGGTAGTAGGCGGCGGGGCCGCGGTCGAACAGGCGGCTGGCGCCGCGGTCGTAGCAGGCGGCGGGGCCGTGCAAGCAGGCGGCCGGGGCCGCGGTAGTAGAGGGCGGCGAGGCCGCGCTAGCAGGCGGCCGGGGCCGCGACAGTAGCGGGCAGCGGGGCCGCGGTCGAACAGGCGGCTAGGGGGCCGCGGTCGAGCAGGCGGCCGGGGCCGCGGTAGTAGCGGGCGGCGAGGCCGTGCGAGCAGGCAGCCGGGGCCGCGACAGGAGCGGGCGGCGGGGCCGCGGTCGAACAGGCGGCTGGGGCCGCGGTCGTAGCAGGCGGCCGGGGCCGCGATCGTAGTGGGCGGCGGCCGCGGCGTAGCAGGCGGCAGGGCCGCGTCGAGCAGGCGGCTGGGGGGCCGCGTCGAGCAGGCGGCTGGGGGCCGCGTCGAGCAGGCGGCTGGGGCCGCGATCGTAGCGGGCGGCTGGGGCCGCGACTTAGCGCGCGGCTGGGCCGCGTGTGGGAGGGAGGCGACACGGAGGGTCGCTCGAGAGCGGAAAAAAAAAAAAGTTGAGCGCGCCTCGGGGCGCGCTTCGGTGGGCCCTAGGCAGAGTTCCACAGGGAACCCGCTCTATACCATGTGAAATGAGTAAGCAGGAATGAAATGACTAAGGAAAGATTGGGAACAAATACAACCCTAGAAACCCTGTACCCCATATGTGCTACCCCACTATAGCCTACAGCAACTATGTCATATAAATCTGACACACTGCAGCAACGCGTGAGCACACTGCAGCAACGCGTGAGCACACTGCAGCAAGGCGTGAGCTCACTGCAGCAAGGCGTGAGCTCACTGCAGCAAGGCGTGAGCTCACTGCAGCAAGGCGTGAGCTCACTGCAGCAACGCGTGAGCTCACTGCAGCAAGGCGTGAGCTCACTGCAGCAAGGCGTGAGCTCACTGCAGCAAGGCGTGAGCTCACTGCAGCAACGCGTGAGCTCACTGTAGCAACGCGTGAGCTCACTGGAGCAAGGCGTGAGCTCACTGTAGCAACGCGTGAGCTCACTGGAGCAAGGCGTGAGCTCACTGGAGCAAGGCGTGAGCTCACTGCAGCAAGGCGTGAGCTCACTGCAGCAACGCGTGAGCTCACTGCAGCAACGCGTGAGCTCACTGCAGCAAGGCGTGAGCTCACTGCAGCAAGGCGTGAGCTCACTGCAGCAAGGCGTGAGCTCACTGCAGCAAGGCGTGAGCTCACTGCAGCAACGCGTGAGCTCACTGTAGCAACGCGTGAGCTCACTGGAGCAAGGCGTGAGCTCACTGGAGCAAGGCGTGAGCTCACTGGAGCAAGGCGTGCGCAATAATTTGCCAGCGCGCAGCGCTGCAAGGCCGCTGCAGGAATTCGCCAGCGCACTGCCGCAACAAGCAGCGCACAAGCCACCAGCGCGCGGCACGCTGCATGCCAGCGAGCTAATCGCCAGCGCATTAGGCGCCAGCGCGCTAGGCGCCAGCGCCTTAGAAGCCAGCGCGCTAGGCGCCAGCGCGATAGGCGCCAGCGCGCTAGGCGCGAGCGCGCTAGGCGCCAGCGCGCTAGGCGCCAGCGCGTTACACGCCAGCGCGCTAGGCGCCAGTGCGATAGGCGCCAGCGCGCTAGGCGCTAGCGCCATACGCGCCAGCGCGCTAGGCGCCAGCGCCTTAGGCGCCAGCGCACTAGGCGCCAGCGCCTTAGGCGCCAGCCGCTAGGCGCCAGCGCGCTAGGCGCTAGCGCGCTAGGCGCCAGCGCGCTAGACGCCAGAGCACAAGGCGCCAGCGCCTTAGGCGCCAGCGCTTTAGGCGCCAGCGCGCTAGGCGCCAGCGCGTTATACGCCAGCGCGCTAGGCGCCAGCGCGATAGGCGCCAGCGCGCTAGGCGCCAGCGCCATACGCGCCAGCGCGCTAGGCGCCAGCGCGTTAGGTGCCAGCCGCTAGGCGCCAGCGCGCTAGGCGCCAGCGCGCTAGACGCCAGAGCACAAGGCGCCAGCGCCTTAGGCGCAGGCGCTAGGCGCCAGCGCCTTAGGCGCCAGGCGCTAGGCGCCAGCGCGCTAGGCGCCAGCGCGCTAGGCGCCAGCGCGTTAGACGCCAGCGCGCTAGGCGCCAGCGCGCTAGGCGCCAGCGCGCTAGGCGCCAGCGCCTTAGGCGCCAGGGCCTTAGGCGCCAGCGCGCTAGGCGCCAGCACGTTAGACGCCAGCACGCTAGGCGCCAGCGCGCTAGGCGCCAGCGCGCTAGGCGCCAGCGCGTTAGGCACCAGCGCGCTAGGCGCCAGAGCATTAGGCGACCAAAGAGGAGAGCAATGGGAGTGTAATGCTAAGAAATCTTGGCATAGAGAACTCACGAAGAAAGTAGAAAACCTAAGCAAAGGAGGGAGGTAAAAAGGTCCGAGAAACGTCTACGCACCTGAGACAACGGTGAAAACAACGCGAGGTCGTTCAGCAACACGCGCTCACGCTCGTGCACCCACCAGAGGCGACGACGGGAAGGGAGGGAGAGGCGACGGCGAGGAGGAAGGGAGCGGCTATGACGGGGCGGGAGGGAGAGGCCATGGCGGGATGGGAGGGAGAGGCGACGGCGGTTGGGAGGAGGGAGAGGCGCTGGCGGGATGGGAGGGAGAGGATACTGGGATTGGAGAAAACGGGATAGCTATGTAGTCATAAGAACCAAGAACCAAGAACTCACCAAGAACCAAAATCAAGAACCAAGAACCAAGAACCAAGAAGAGAGGACCGTCAAATTGGAGTTAAGTGTGAAAGGAAAAAATACAGTTGTTTCTCGTTAGAATAGTGTGTAATGTATGGGGCAGATTCGATTCACATTGTTAAGGTGATTGTATTGTTAGGGCAGAATAAACTTGGCATGGACAATAATTCATTTAGGTGTATATGTAGAAACATGAGCAAGATACTAATTTGAAAGATGTGTCACGTAAAACACACGCATAACTACGTTATCAAACTACAGCTGAAAACAACGAACCCACTATAGTAATTGGATGGTGCAATATAGTAAGATGGAGCTAAAACAAAATGTTTATTATAATAAAAAATATCATCACTGTCCAAATCGTTGCCTTTTAATACTAGACAAGCGTACAAACATGTACTTAATTATACTTTTCTCTAATATGTCTTCTCCATTAGTATAATAAATAATGTTCTTTCATATGTTTCTTATACCACTAGAAACAACTCTACGCAACCCTTACGACGTTCATTGTCGAGCCTTTTTTTTTTTTTTTTTTTTTTTTTTTTTGGTAATTGCATTATACACCGAATAGGCAAGTGTACAAAAGCAAGAACAGTCGTAACTGCGCTTGGAGGCTAGGTGATAACCCGCCTCAGTGTAGCTGCCTTGGCCTGATGCTGCCCCTTCTTTGTCGCGTCCAAATGGCTGCAAAGCCCGCCTTCCACGTCCACTTCTTTGCGTTCCTGTCCCTGATTCGATCCAGAAGCTTCATCTCCTGACTCGGCCCTCCACCACGTGTCACCTTTTGCCCTGATGCGTTGTCTTTCTGCAGTTTCTCTCCCGCGTGTTTCATGAAGACCCTCGCATGCAGCCGAAACGCTGCCTCTATCCTCCATAGTACCCGTCTCAACCGGAATTTTACCTCCCGGAAAGCCGCTTCACATCTCTCAACCCACAGCTGATGGATAGTGATCGCCGTAAGTGTTGCTTCTGGAAATGCTGAGCTGGACGCCGCTCGCCCAAAAAGAAGGTCGCCCAGCGATGAAATGTTGCGCCCGGGGTTAAGCATCTTGAGGGCTGTTTTCAAAGCTCCCAGCACTGGCTGAATCCTCGGGCACTCGAAAAGACAGTGCTCCATCGACTCCTCCTCGCAGCAGTACGGACATTTTGGCTTCGAACTGAGGAAGGCCAGCCTTTCACCGACCTGTAGGTTGAAATTATGCACCCTGATTAAAACATCTCTGGGGCGACTAGGCGTGGTAAGTGAATCACGGATCTTGGTCACCCGCTTCCAGTCAATTTCCCCCCCCCAACGGTTTGCCCACTTCTCCCTCCTCCGCGCCGAGTGCCCCTGTCTTCTCCATGCTAGCCGCAGGTGCTTAATCGGGGCGACTTGGCCGAGGTGAAAAATGGGTGTGCGGAATAGTTTACCCCCAGGGGCTACAGCTGCCCTTCCCCCCGTGCCTGCGCCCTGATTTCCTTCCGATGAGGCGAGCAGCAGCTCCCTCCAGTTCTCAGGCGCGGCAGCCAGCCCCTTCAGCGCCAGCCGAGCAGAAGCTGTTCCAAGCGACAATGCTAGGGTCTCCTCGCTCTTTACTGCCATCCCACCGTTCGCCATGGGCGCCACCAGGTCCCCCAGCTTGATCTCCCAAAGCGCCTTAGCAGCCTTCTGTCCCCCAACCGGCGTTCTCCCGTTAAGCAGAATGCCTCTGTTGAAAACCAATCTCTCTGCGGCAACTTCTGCTGCGGTGAGAGGCATGCTGACCGAAGCGAACGGCGACGCCATGAAACATTCGCAGGTTTGCTTCCATCGCGCGCTCCCCCCAACCCAGTGTTTTAACAGCTTCTCATGCGATAGGAAAGTATCCAGCCCCAGCGGCAGGCCTGCTGCTGCGAGCATCATGTCTCGTTTGAAATCATCCGGCTCGGTGAGCAGGATTCCGATCCTTCTAGCGGCCAGACAGGTGACCAGAACCCCCGGATCCTTCACACCAACTCCTCCCTCCTCCCGTGTTGCGAATATTGTTTCCCTCCCCCACAGGATGAAACACCCCTCCTCCGACGCGTGATTGCCCGAGAGGAAATTATGAATCAGCTTCGATATCCGACCCCAGACCTCCTGCGGCGGCGGGTAAACCTGCGCCTGGAAGGCGATGATCGGGGTAATGTAACCATTGATGACAACCGCCCTCGCCGTAATCGTGAGGTACTTCAGCTCCCATTTCCCCATTTCCCCCAGAAGTCTCAGCAGTGTCTTGTCCCATGTCGCCTTGCAGTCGCCTGAGGCGGTGACCCAGACCCCGAGCAGTCTCTCCGCATCATTTGCACCGGCCCACTTGAAACCGTCCGGCCTCCAAGGACGACCTCCAAGATTTCTGCCCAGCGGCATCACCACCGACTTATCCTTGTTTGTGGCCAAACCAGAAACACGCTCGAAATAGTCCAGCATTTTCCCTGCCTCTGCAATCTGCTCCCTCCCCTGCAGCAGAAGCGTGGTATCGTCCGCATAACCCAGGTAAGGCAGCCTCCTCCCCGAGTCAGTGACAATGCCCAACTGCCTCTTCGCCGCTTCCTGGGCCAGAGGTTCCACCGCACAGATGAAAAGGTAAGGTGCGAGAGGACATCCCTGCCGCACCCCCGAAACCACCTCCAAGGCGTCGCTCTTCCATCCGTTAATTAACAGCCTTGTTTTCGTTTCCTTGTGCAGGCCCCTCACCCAACCCACATAGCTCGGAGGGAAGCCCATCTTCTCCAGCGTCTCAAAAAGGAAGCCCCGGGAAACAGTGTCGAAGGCTTTTTGGAAATCCACCAGCAGCAAAAACCAGTCCTTGTCCCCTTTGTTTGCAGCATCAATGATGTCCGCCACCAGGCTGACCGCATCCGACAATCTCCGGCCCGGTATGAAACCTGTCAGAATATTATCTTATTGTTCTAGCCTGTAGTGGGGTGCTCTATAGCGAGTAGAACCCTTCTAGGGTTTGCTATTTGTATCCTCATTCTTGCTAGTTCAATCCTCTTTCTTCTTCTAACTTTTGTCATGCTATCAGAGCAGGTCGATCCCCTTGGATCGATCCTGTGGGTGGGTTTCCACCTCGCTTCCGCTGCTACCTTTCCTTCCCGCCGTGCGCCCCGAGGCGCGCGGCGGTTTTCCTTCCCGCCGTGCGCCCCGAGGCGCGCGGCGGTTTTCTGCCCGCCGTGCGCCCCGGGGCGCGCGGCGGTTCTTTGCCCGCTGTGCGCCCCGAGGCGCGCGGCGGGCGTCTGCCCTACCTTCGCGGGCGTCCGCCCTACATCGCGGCCCCGCCCTGCGTCGCGGCCCCGCCCCTCGAAGCGGCCCTGCCCTACGTCGCGGCCCCGCCCCGACCGTCGCGGCCCCGCCCTACGTTGCGGCCCCGCCCTGTGTCGCGGCCCTGCCCCTCGAAGCGGCCCTGCTCGACCGTCGCGGCCCCGCCCCTCGTCGCGGCCCCGCCCCTCGTCGCGGCCCCGCCCCTTGTCGCGGCCCCGCCCTCCAACCAGGCCCGTGGTGGGCCCATTTCACCACACCGCCTCCCCCCCCCCCTCCCCCTGCCATTTCCCGTCGCCCGTCGCGGCTCCTTCGGGGGCCGCGAGCTGTGGGGTGGCGGGTATGGGGGTGCTCGGTGTGCCTTCCTCCCTTTGCTCCTCCTCCTCCTTCGTCTCCCACTGCTGCAGCTGTCGCTGAGGGGGGTGGTTGTGTGGCAGACTCGGGTTTAGGGTTTAAGGGGGGTGCGTGGGAATGCAGCTAGCGGTGTAGCAGTGGGTGTGTATCAAGGGGGTGGGACTGTGTGCGGGAGGATGAGCGGAGGTTGTCAGTTTGTCGTTCGCAGCACCTGTAGTCCGGGGCGCTGTCCCGGTAGCCCAGTCGTAGCCAGCTGTGCCAGCCGCCCGTGGGTCCGTTGCCCGTCCGCCGCTATTTGAGCCGCGGGGCCTGTTACTCCTGTAGTCCGGGCGCTGTCCGGTAGCCGCTGTGCCAGTGTGCCTCCTGTTGCCCGTGTGCCTGCAGCTTCAGTCGTCGCCTCCTATCTCCTCTCCCCTCACTCTCTCTCCTCCTCCTCACTTGCCCGTTGTGACTACCACTAGCTCTGCTCATAATTGTGAACTCTAAACTATCTCTTCTTGAACTTGTGCTCAGAATGTGTGGTGACATTGTGATCCACCCTGAGCTTGTACTACTTTGCCTGCTCTGCTGATTACACCCCACTTTGGCTATGGGGGTGTGTCAGAATATTATCTTATTGTTCTAGCCTGTAGTGGGGTGCTCTATAGCGAGTACAACCCTTCTAGAGTTTGCTATTTGTATCCTCATTCTTGCTAGTTCAATCCTCTTTCTTCTTCTAACTTTTGTCAAAACCGTACTGCTCCCTCGAGATCACCCGGTGCAGCACCTTCTTCATCCGGTCCGCCACCACTTTCGCCAGTACTTTGTAAGTGAAGTTCAAAAGCGTAATAGGCCGGTAGTTGCTTATTTGGCCCTTGTCGCCCTTCTTGTGTAGCAAGATCGTAACCGCCTCCTTGGTGTTTGCAGGCAGCGATGCAGAAGCTTCGAAGGAGCGCGCCAGGCTCATGAAGCACTCTCCTAGGATGTCCCAATGCAGCTCGAACAGCTCTTTCGGGATCCCGTCCAAGCCCGGCGACTTACCGCACGCCAACGCCTTGAAAGCATTTTTAACTTCCTGCTCCGACCAATCCTGAGCCAGTCCCTCCGCCTCTTCTGCCGACAGCCTCCGGTCCGGTAACCAACTTGTTCGGTGAGTCCGTTTATCCGTCCCGAAGAGCCCGTTGAAGAAATCGGCAGCCGCATCTAGAATACCCTGCTTGTCGCACACCATCGTGCCGTTGACATTTAACTCAGCTATCCGCGTGCGCTGTTTCCTGGCCTTCACCCTTGCCGACAGGTGCTTCGAGACCACCTCCCCCTTGAGCTCTGTCCCATAACCAGCCATCAGATGGAGTCTGTCCCGTCGTGATGCTTGATACTCCCGCAGTTGACTCCCGCAGTTTGAACTTCGATGTTGTCCTGCTTCGCGACGACGTTCACTCCGGGTTACCATCTCTCCGTCGCAAATTTTCTGTACCGTACATCCCTATGTTCCTCTCGTCGCCTCGCCTCGCCTGCAACCAACAGGCTTGCGGGAAATGGTCCAGCAAGCGCAGAGCCCGAAAGTCTTCTAGAGCAGAGCCTGATGTGCAGGAGGGAAAAATGGCAGGCATCGGGGAAGCCGCGCAGTGCGCGCCTAATCGCAAGCGGAGCCCTTGCCCACCGCGAGAACTGCTGGAGGGTAGATCCAAGAAACTACACGCAACAAATAGCTTCGAACTAGGAAATACACTCAATACGCGCAGCATTTGATTCTAATCATAAATTACTTCCAGCAACCCTAGTGCTGTGATGAGATGCTCTTTTCCACTTCAGATGGAAGTATCTCAACACCGCTGGCCTTTATCTCGCTAAGAATGGGCACATCCTATATCCATTGTCAATCTGACCAGGACTGTTAAGGACCATAGTGCTCCATACAAATATAATACAAGACACATCAACTTTGTGTAGCCCGCAACAACAATTTCGAGGCAATGCCAAATCTGAGATTATTGATGTCTCTTCAGGCATTTCAGTCGATCTAGGCTACAGCCCCATGACAAAACCAGACTATAGACAGAACAGAAGCCACATTACCGTACGTGGTATACCATTTCATTGGGTGCCCCATAGGAACTTTGTAGCCTGATTGACTGCAGTGAATTGGAGGTTGGGGCTTTCTTTTCTTTCAGGGTTACCTTACCAGTACACAGCCCCATGTTTGGGCTAATAATGATCTCCGAACTGAAAACACCCTAGTCGTTGCCCTGGGTTGTACATGAGGCGCAACATACGGTAGTAGAACAGATTATATTTACACATCAGAAGTACCATCAGGTCAGGAGCATTGCTGCCGAAGCATTACCAGCTCTGGAACCAAAGAGGCATCAGTCAACCTACACGCGAGCAAAGCTGACACCAGCGGGGCAACCAAGAGACGATTCTCAAGGCGCCTAAAAAATTCCATCAGCCTTGGTCCCAGAGAGGAGTCAACCTGGACTCAAACAATGCCAGCAAGAGCAGCGGTGACATTGACAGCTGCACTGCAAGCAGCCCTCCCAGCCACATTGAAGGTGCCTCAAAAGTTTTTGTGGAAGGATCATCCGCCCTGGTCTCAGAGAGGGGAGTCAACCTTGACGCCAGCAGGGCCAGCACGAGCAGTGAAATCGACAGCTGCGCCACAGCCTGCCATCCCAGCCACACCACCACCTTCACCAACGGTGCACATTCGAGGGGCCGTAGGAATCAGCTTTGGTCCCAGAGAGGGGTCAACCTGGAAGCGAGGAGAGCCAACACGAGAGGAGAAATCGAGAGCTGAGCCGCCACCTGCCCTCCCAGCCACACCACCACCGCCACCAACGCCGCCGTCCTATGGCAAAACATGGGCCCGGCAACCCACTGAACCGCACTCAAACCCACAACCAGCACCAGGCCTCTCACTCCCCCCAAGAACCATGCAACAAGCCCTGCAATCTGATACCCCCGCTGGTTCCCCCACATGAGGGCAAAGGTCAGCACCCCTAGCAACCGCTCTGTACCGATTGCTGAGGCACAGGAGACGAGGAGGAAGAGAACGAGAAGCACTGAGAGGATGGAGGAGAAGGACCGGAAACCGCCGGGGAAGAGGGAGCGGAAGCGGAAGAGTGCGAAGCGCCAGGTGTCGTCCACCCATTGGCCGAGGAAGACTTGTGAGAAGGAGAGAGGGAGGGTGAAAGGTTCCAAAGCGGCACGCCTGCTCTGATCTCTCTCTTCATCTTGCTGCTGCCAGCTGGCGCGATCCCATTCGTCCTCACGGTCCTCCTCCTGGTGACGTGGACGTGTGCGGCTGCTGCCCCTGCTGCCTTGCTTGTTGTTTCGCTCTTGCCAATACGAACGCCTGTGGCTATACCTGTGGCTATATCTGTCACTGTATTCGGAGCTATAGCTACTGCTGTGGCTGTATCTGTATGATCTCTGCGCTTCCCATTGCTCCCAGCTGTCTGCCTCTCCCTGTTCTGGCTGCTGCTGCTGCTGCTGCTGCTGCTGCTGCTCTCGTTGCTGTTGTCCCTCCTGGTGAGTGGTGTGTGAGCCGCATGTGGAGCTGTTTGCACTCTCAGACCAGGCATACGAGTAGGGTTGCTCTGGGCTGTGACCTGCACCTCTGCGTGTCCGTCTTCCCCGCGACCGCATCTGAGCATAGTTGAGAGGCCAGCGGAAAAAGACCGCTGAATCCTGGGACGAATCCTCTGCCGCTGCTCCTGCTGCCCCTGTTCCTGCTGCTGCTGCTTCTCCAGATGACTCGGCTCTTGATGCTGATGATGCTGATGCTGATGATGCTGATGGTGCAGAGAACGGGGATGAGTGCATGTTGCGAGGCCGGTAGGACGTGGACGGGGGTACCCACCAGTCGCCCGTATCATCCGGGGGTGTGGCAGAGGAGTAAGAAGGTGATGCTGCTGCTGCTGCTGCTGCTGCTGCCGATGCTGCAGTGGCTGCAGCAGCAGCGGCGGAGGGACGTCTGTTTTGGTTCCAGAAGGGCCTGGCGTCAGCTGCTGCAGCGGCTGGAGGTGGTGGCAGGGTGAAGTCGTAGCGCTGCCGCTGCTGCTCATCAGATAGTACCTGCATGGTGAGAAACGGATGGGCAGGTAAGAATGGGCAACGAGAAGCGGATGAGAGAGGTGATTCCTGTCATCCTGATGCAGCAGCGGCTGGTGGTGGTGGCAGGGTGAAGTCGTATCGCTGCTGCTGCTGCTGCTCATCAGATAGTACCTGCGTGTTGGGACGGTCAAGGGGAATAAATGGATGTAACAATTGACATGTAATGGAGTTTTGAGACGTACGTTAAGTGAAGTTGAAAGTATTCAGTGTAACAGTGGATATGAAGTAGCATATTACGACGAACATTAAGCAATCACATACAAACTCTCATCAAATCACAACCTCTCACCACCTCATAAGCAGCCCGAATGGCTGCAACGGCCTCCGTGGACTGGAAAGGAGTGTGAGAAGACCATCAAGTACTTGATGCACTTCAGAAGCAGTGACACCCCAAATACCATGATCGAATCGCCTCACAACCTCTTTTCACCTCACCACCTCTCATCACCCCACAACCTCCCATCACCCCACAACCTCTCATCACCTCTCACAACCTCTCATCACCTCACAGCCTCTCATCATCTCACGCCCTTTCATCACCTCACATCCTTTCATGACCTCACGACCTTTCACCACCTCACCACCTCTCATCACCTCACAACCTCCCATCACCGAAAAACCTCTCATCACCTCATAAGCAGCCAGAATGGCTCGGAACGCCTGGGTGGACTGGTGGTGACGTGACACGTCAGGATGACACTGGAGGGGACAGGAAGGAAAAAGGGAAGTGGAAGGAACGGTTTTAGGGAAAGTGTAAGGGAAGGAGACATCAACATCAACATCAACATCAACATCAACATGAACATGAACATCAACATCAACAGCAACAGCAACAGCAACATCAACATCAACATCAACATCAACATCAACATCAACATCAACATCAACATCAACAGCAACAGCAACATCAACATCAACATCAACATCAACATCAACATCAACATCAACATCAACATCAACATCAACATCAACATCAACATCAACATCAACATCAACATCAATATCAATCAGCTTCAGCAGACACTGCTGCCACAACAGCAACATCACAAGGAGAGGAGACAAGAGCGGGACAAGGGGAGGCGCCTGTCGCCCTCAGCCATCTGATTAGACGACTTGAGACGTCTCACAAGGAGAGGAGACAAGAGCGGGACAAGGAGAGGCGCCCGTCGCCCCTCTGCAAGCCCAGCTCTCCCCAGAAGCGCACCACCCGCTACAAACGCCAAACTCTGTTCTCTTTACAAGGCCCAGCTGTCTCACGAGTTCACGACCCACTATAAGCACACCACCTTGCGAGCCAGCCGTTCCAAGGTTTAGCGTCTCTGTCTGTACTCGTTACAAGGTCAGCCACAGGACACGAGGATGTCTGATGAGAGCACAACCCAGTACAAGAGCAGCACATTGCGAGCCAAGCGCAAGGGCCATTGCGTCCCAAGGTCCAGCAGGCCCCTCCCCACAAGCGCACAGCCGTCCCAAGGCCCTCGTTACAAGGCCATACTCTGCCCTCGTTACAAGGTCCAGCAGTCCCCTTCCCACAAGCGCACAAACCACTGCAAGCACAGCACCTTGCGTGCCAGCCGTCTGAAGGCCGTTTTGATCTCCTGCTTGCTGGCGCGCCTCGACACTCCCAAGGTCACATAGTGGTCCCCCCCACCCGCAACTCCACCAATCGCATTGCCACCACTGCCCTCGTCCCTTCCGCCCCAGTTCCCGCTGCCCTCGTCCCTTCCGCCCCAATTCCGGCCGCCCTCCTCCCTGCCGCCCTCGTTTCTGCTGCCTTCTGATTGGCCCGCCCAGTTCGCCCGCCAGGGCCCTCCCCTCTCCCATTCCGCCCTGCTGTTTCTCCCCCTCTCGCCTCCCCTTCCCCCTCCCCCTCCCGTCCTTCCGCTTCCCCAATCATCGGCGCCTCCCCACCGTCCCCTCGCCCAGTTCCGCCCCTCCGCCGCCGTCCCCCTCCCCCAGTCGTCCCCGCCCCGCGCCCCGCCAGCCGAGCGCGGGGAAGACTGGTTCCGCCCCGAATCGGCCCCCCCATCCCACCTCCCGCTCCCCCACCTTCCGCCAACCCACCTTCCGCTCCCCCTCACCCAGTCCTCCCCTCTATGCGCCCCCCCACTCGAGCGCGCGCGATCCGCGGAGGCGACGAATAGAAGCCGCTCGGGGTTCCGTGAATTCCGGCAGAGCTGTCGTGATCGACGCGCGGTCCCGGCTATGAGGGTGAGTGGAGCGTTCGCGTTCAATGCGGGGAGGTAGGAAACGGCGAATGGCCGCACGCCACGTGTCGAAATGTCCTGACCGGCCGCCGACCATGGGGAGAGGGGCCGGAGGCGGAAAATATCCGCGCCGGATGCGGGCATCGCGCGCGCGCGTTTGCAGAACCGAAGGGGACAGCTTCCGCTGTCACGCGGAGGACAGTGTTGAATGCGGCGAGCGAAAGACCTCCGCAAACGACTCTTAATCACCTAATTGTCAACGTTAACCTTGTACCATATCAGGTTTCTCTTTCGCCGCACCAATGCCTTCCTTTGCGCAACGCGCAAGCGTGAAGTATGGGGTGCGCTAGGAGCGTCGTCTCGCATGTCTGCTGTGCGCGCGCAACGCGCAAGCAACGCCTTGGTGAAGTGCGCGACTGTGAGGCGCTTCCTCCACACTACCAGCAGTAATCGTTGTAAAATGATTCGTTTTTGCAAAGTGCGCGACTGTCTAACAGACTGACTTTCTTTTGAATACACAATAAGGTGCAATAAGAGACAGTTGCCACAATAAGGTGAATACTCTTGAAACGAAATATAAGGTCAGACCTTGTAGATTTCCGACGACTACATATACCGTATCACCCCGGATATAAGCGCAGGTGCGCTTATAATAAAACAGTGATTTTGAGGGGGGCGCGCTTATAATTGAGTCAGATTTATAAGCGCATGCACTTATAAAATGACAATTACAGAAATGTGTTTTAAATTCACCAAACTGTACATCTCTGTCGTGCAATTTCAATCGAATCAGAACATTACAGCGTCCCACATCAGAGAATCGCGCGAGGGCGATTTCAGCCGCCGCACAGAGGTGAGGACACGTCACAACGCAGAGGAATGTGTCAAGCTCGCCCCGAACCAATGTACGAGCCAGTCGCACGGAGTCGCTTGATCGCAGCGCAGAGGCACAGTCGTTCCCGAGCCCCCCCGCCTGCCCCTTTTTCGCTCGCACAACGCACAGGACAGTCGTTTCCAGCGCCCATCTTCCCTCCCCCCCCTCCCAACGATGTGCTGTCAGCCAGCTTCTAGCCGTTTCGCTTCTCCTGCGAATCGCTCGCCCTCGAGCGAGTCAAACAAGTAGGGACGGATCTGGACTCGCTGCAAAAAGGGAAATCGTTACTGTATTAATTAGGATTTAATAGTAGAATTATTGATGCGCTTATAATAAGTCAAGGTTTTACAGGGGGTGCGCTTATAATTGAGGATCGGCCGTAAGCGCATTGCTCCAGATATAAGCGCATGCGCTTAACATAGGCCTGCGCTTATATCCGGGGTGATACGGTACGTGGCGGTGCATAATTTCAGTTAGAAAACCACTTGTACATCTTATCATACCAGCGTACACTTTCATGGTGCTCCTTGCACTCTAAATATATTCTTATGTAGCTCGCAAGCGGTCCCGTAAATCCCCGGTGGAAGAAGAATGTCTCCCATTCTTGTTGTAACTCTGGGCTCAAACAACTGGTAGTCGAATTTGAGAAAAATGTGGCAGGCAGAGAGGGACAGGAGAAACAGGCAAGAGAAGATGGGTATGAGGAGAGGGAGAGGTAAACATACGCTAGAAAAACGTGTCGCGGTCTCAGAGGGGAATTATTAAGAATTATTAAGAAAGATTAAGAATGAGGTGCTGTGCCCTCAAAATGGGAATGAAGGACCACATGCTGTGAGCTCAAAGCACCAAATTAAAAAGCTCAGGACAAAGGGACAACTCACTGATGTGGCTGCCCACACGCAGGAATGCGCCAGGGGGAGCCTCAGGGTCTGCTGATTCCCCTACACAGGGAGCGCCAGCTGTTGTGAACTCTAATCACCAAGTCAACACAAGCAGGACAAAAGGCAACTCACTGATGCGGCTGCCCATATGCCGGTATGCGCCCAGGGGGAGCCTCGAAGTCTGCTGATTCCACCCGGAGGATCTTCCAGTGGTAGTGGCCCAGAACCAGGCAGTCAACCGTTATCATCGGGCATTTCTCCTCAGGCGCTCCCCCTTCCTCATGTGCCCTTGCTTCCCCCCCTGCGGCTGCTGCTTCTGTTCCTGCTGCTGCTACTGCAGGCACTACACCTGCTGTTGATGCTCGTATTTCGCCACCTGCTACAGCTGATGTTGCAGTTGTAGCAGCTACAGCCCCGGCATCTGGCAGTGCTGATGGTGGTTGCTTCTGTTTTTCATGTGATTTGCCAAGCCTCGACGGAGGCTGTGGCTTATGCGGTTCGCCTAGCGTAGGGGAGTGCAGGGTTCGATTCCGGCCGCTGCGCATTGCCTTGAGACTGCAGATGCTCACTCGCACGTGGATGGGCGTCAGGTTAAAGCCCTGGTTCGTTTGCCACTACATGGTGGGGAGGGGTTGCAGGTATGCCGAGAGGATCAAGACAAAGCTGCGCATCGGGGACAATTTTGCTCACTCGCACATGGATGGGCGTCAGGTTAAAGCCCTGGTTCGTTTGCCACTGAACAATGGGGTTGCAGACATGACAAGAAAATTGCTATTGTGTTTCCAGTGTAGGGGGAAAATGGCAGAAGCGAGAGAGGTAAAAGAAAAAAAATAAACATACAATCCACAGCTGCCACTGTGGAAATTCAGGCCTCCAAAGCAGACAATGCGAAATAGAGACGAGTGTAACTGGAATGATGATCCAGAGCGACTGAGATTTTGAAACATGAGGCAGCAGACAGAAAGCTGGGGTGAGTGGAAGGTGAACCTGCAGATGAAGAGGTGAGGAACGGGTCTATACAGACGCACCTCAATTTCTGTCCGTTCATCCGTGTCCATTCCCTCCATAAGCTTCTCCTTCCACTGCCCTTCCCTGTAACAAAAATCCTCCTCTTATAATTTACAAGGCAAGAGGATTGTTTGAAGAAGTGTTTTGAGACGTCTCAAAACACTTCTTCAAACACGTGGCTCCTCTTATAATTTACAAGGCAAGAGGATTGTTGTCACAAACGCACCTCAATCTCGGTCCGTTCATCCGTGTCCATTCCCTCCATAAGCTTCTCCTTCCACTGCCCCGAAACCAGATCGCCCATTTTCACACCCTCCACCCTCCCCTGCTTCTGCCACCTCCTCTTCTTCCTCTCCTCCTCACTCAACCCCCTCACTCCCCCATCCCCTTCCCCCTCCTTTTCGTCCTCCTCCTCCTCTGCTCCGCCTCTCAGCTCCCTCTCCTGTACAAACCTCGCAGTCAGCAGCATGTCCTCTCCGTCCTCCTCGCTCTCTCTTCGCAGCATAAGCAGCATCTGATGCCCGCTAGGCTCCAATTTAAACTTGGAGGGAGGAGGCTCCAAAAGAGGCTGGAAATTGGGTGGTGACAAAGGGGGGGGGTTGTGAAAAATGAGCCTTCTGTCCCTCCTCGCCCCCCTCTCCTGCACGAACCGCTCAGTCAGCAGCATGTCCTCTCCGTCCTCCTCGTTCTCCCTTCTCAGCGTCAGCACCATCTCATGCCCGCTCGGCTCCAATCTAAACTTGGAGGGAGGGGCCTCCAACAAAGGCTGGGGTTTGGGTGGTGAGAAAAGAAGGGGTATGGAAAAATGAGCTCTTTTCTCTTTCCCTTCTGGCCTCCCTCTCTCTGCACGAACCTCGCAGTCAGTAGCATGTCTTCTCCGTCCTCCTCGCTCTCTCTCCTCAGCGTCAGCAGCATCTGGTGTCCGCTGGGCACCAGTCTAAACTTGGGCGGAGGGGGCTCCAACAAGGGCTGGGGTTTGGGTGGTGGCAAAAGGGGGTGTATGGGGAATCGAGCCCTCATTTTCTCCTCTCCTCTCCGTCCTCCTCGCTCTCCCTCCTCAGCGTCAGCAGCATCTCATGGCCGCTGGGCTCCAATCTGAGCTTGGACAGAGGGGGCTCCAGCAGAGGCTGTGAGACAGACAAGGGGGAAAGAAAGGTGGAAGGAGGGGGTAAAAGCCGGGGAGGAGGAGGGGAAGAGGGGGGAAGTGGGGGAGGAGTAGCAAGCAGAATGATGTACAGCGCAGACGCCGAGCTTACCAAACCTGTGGACGAGGCTCGGCATGTTGCTTGCTTGCCGTACATCAGGCACGGCGATTGAATACTCCACCCTCCATATTCGAGCTTACCATACCGATAAACGAGGCTCGGACTTGGCAAAAGTTCGGCGTGAGGTTTGGCATGTTGCTGGCTTGCCGTACCTCGGGCATGACGCTCGGGTACTCCACGTCCCATGCCAGCTTCCGCTCGAAGCACTCGCGAAACTTCTCATTCGACCCAGGCGGGAACGTCGAGTACGGCACCTCGATTTCCCCCTCCTCCACGCGTCTCCTCCAATCCCCCCGTCCTGCCGGATTCCCCTGTTCCTGCTGTGCGGGTACAGTCCTCCCCCAGTTCCGCCGTCCTCCTGCCGCATTCGCCCCGCCTTGCCATCCTAAGTTCCCCCGATCCGCCTCTGCTCCCGCCCTGGCGCGATCTTGCCACCCCCATTTCCCCGGGTCTCCCCGTCCGGCTGATTCAGCCCGCTCGTTCCGCGGAGTGTTCCCCCTGTCCCCTGGTTCTTCCCTCCCCGCACCCCCGCCTCTGTTTCCCCGTTCTCCTGTCCCTGGGCCCCAACGCCTGTGGTCCGGTTCTCCTGACGTGGCGCGATTTGGATTTCCCGGGCCACGTGTCCCGCTCGCGACTCCGCTCCCAACGCCTGCTCTTGCGCCTGTGGTTCTTCTGTCTCGATTCGGATCGCGCAATGAGCGGTTCGACACTCCGTCCCTGCCACGCTCGTCGCCTCTCAAACTGTCGCTTTCGCTGTTACCACCTGAACCACCTGTCGCGCTGGAACTAGAGATACTAATGGAATGGATTGAGCACGCGTGACTCTGCGACAGCAAGAGCGTTATAATCTGATCGCTGCATGGTGGTAGCGCTGCCCGTGATTTGCGGCAGAGAACGCGGAGCATGATGGTACTGACGATGGAAATTCCCTGGGACTCCGCGAAAGATGGCGAGAGGTGCGATCCTTTGCGGAATTGGGTCCAAAGAGGATATGAGCGTTCGCGAATCTCGCTCACGGGTGCGACGAACATTTACAAAGCGCACATGCTTTTTCGCTTGTAACCAGTTTTACAATCTGGTTGGTGGCGGATAAACACAGCCCCGATTCTCTCCTTTCCAGCATCTGATTGGCTGGATGACGGAAGGTTGGAGCTGTGGACGACATGCGAACTTTTCGGGTGCATCACCAACTTGTTCGCATTCGCAACACACCCTCGAAAATGCCCTCCCCGAAATTGTAGCCGTTTCGAGATTGTTCGCTGGATGTCACCTCTCGAGATTGTTGTGAAGTCCAACCAGCCAAACCAGAATGGCAGTCCTTCCCTGGTTCAGTGGTTCAGCTCAAGCACACAACCCAACCAACATATAGCTCAGTCAGGTACTTGTCATTCCAATTACTGGATTTAGACCTACCTGGTTTCCAAGGTTCAGGGGCGTGTCGCGCGCAGCTGCCTGTTGCTGAAGGCAACTGGACTGCTAACTCTTCGCATCCTTATTCAGAAGTTGCGGTATCACCCCTGCTACTTTATTTATTCCTTACTGTTTTCTTCGGCGTTCTTTTCTTGACATTGGGCATTACATTCTCGCGCTGCGATCATGAGAGCATCGAATCCGTTATGGCCGCTGCTTTTAGCAGCAGCTATTGTTCTCAGTAGCGCGTACGCTCAAGCTCAACTAGATGCGTCTCTTAGTGCCACGTCAGCAGACGCTCCTGCCAGCGCGCCCTCTCCCGCTCCCGCTCCCAGCTCCGTCGCAGCCCCTTTCCTCCCAGCCGCCGGCGATCTCCCCGCGGATTTCGGAACTCTGCCGGCGGCCGACGCCATGCGTCAGTCAATAATCGGCGGACCGGCAGATCTAACGGCCGTTAGCCGAAAGAACTGCTCGCTGTCTGTTCAGACGGATGTGGGAACCAACTGGGAGTTTGAAAACTGCGTGTACCTTCAATCGGGCGGCGGCTTCACCTTCCATGTAATCACTTTCTCAATAAATCAGTTCCTGTTCGCCATTTCAAGCACAAAACTTTGTGAAATTCTTTTCCGCTATTCGTCAGAAAGGCTGCTACTTTCATAAGAGTGATCTTTGAGCTCGTTGCAGGGTTGGCTAGCCTCTCCTCATAACCGATTTTCCCCGTCCGGCCATTCGTATTCAGTGATTCACTTTAATTCCAACTCTCGCCGTCTCCGCCATTCTCTTTTCTTCTTTCGCTTCCTGCGACCGCGCCACCCGCATTCTCGACGGCGCGTTCTCGGCAGATGAGGAGGAATGGCGGAATGGTGCATTGGCATACTCCCAGACAATTCAATTTCCAGAATTGTGCCGATCTCCCCCTTTTCTCCTTCACCTCCCCCCATACCCCTCTCCGTCCGTCCAGTGGACGTATGATCGCCCCACTCGCATTCTCGACGGCGCGTTTTCGGCGGACTGGGACGGGTGGGTGGGGTGGGGCATAGGCGTGCGCATGGTGGGGGCGAGCGCGCTCGTGGCGTTCCGCGCAAGCGAGACGGAGTATTACTTCTCGCAGTACTACCTGGCGGATTACAACGCGAGCCTCATCAAACAGGATACAGGGACCTTGGATTTGGTTCCCAACAGCGTCAAGGTGAGTGGGTGGCTCGAGAGCTCGCCTCTGGCTGGGGGCGTAGAGAGTGAGCGAAGGCAAGTGAGACGGAATATTACTTCTCCCAGTGCTACCTGGCGGATTATAACGCGAGCTTGATCAAACCGGACACGGGCGAGCTGGAATTGGTTCTCAACAGCATCAAGGTGAGTTTGTGGGTGGATTAGGGATTGGGGCCCCTGAGCTCGGGCAGGCCAGAGTCGTTGGGCTCTCGCTCGGGGTTCAACGTATCGCAGTACTACCTGGCGGACCACAATGCGCGCCCTGATCGAGCCGGATTCTGGGGAGCTGGAATTGGTTTCCAACATCATCAAGGTGAGTGGCTTGGGGTCTAATGGTCCTGATCTCGGGCGGGCTAGAGCCGGAAGACTCGCTCAGGGTATTACATATCGCAGTGCAACTTGCTGGACCACAATGCAAGCCTGATCATGCCAGATACGGGTGAGCTGGAAGTGATCCCCAACAGCATCAAGGTGAGTGGCTTGAGGGTGGGGGATTGATATGTGAGGTGAGGTCAGGGTGGCTTATCATGGGGTGGGGGTGGTGTAAACAGGTCAGGGTGGCTTACCATGGGGTGGGGGTGGTGTAAACAGGTCAGGGTGGCTTACCATGGGGTGGGGGTGGTGTAAACAGGTCAGGGTGGCTTACCATGGGGTGGGGGTGGTGTAAACAGGTCAGGGTGGCTTACCATGGGGTGGGGGTGGTGTAAACAGGTCAGGGTGGCTTACCATGGGGTGGGGGTGGTGTAAACAGGTCAGGGTGGCGTACCATGGGGTGGGGGTGGTGTAAACAGGTCAGGGTGGCTTACCATGGGGTGGGGGTGGTGTAAACAGGTCAGGGTGGCTTACCATGGGGTGGGGGTGGTGTAAACAGGTCAGGGTGGATTACCATGGGGTGGGGGTGGTGTAAACAGGTCAGGGTGGCTTACCATGGGGTGGGGGTGGTGTAAACAGGTCAGGGTGGCTTACCATGGGGTGGGGGTGGTGTAAACAGGTCAGGGTGGCTTACCATGGGGTGGGGGTGGTGTAAACAGGTCAGGGTGGCTTACCATGGGGTGGGGGTGGTGTAAACAGGTCAGGGTGGCTTACCATGGGGTGGGGGTGGTGTAAACAGGTCAGGGTGGCTTACCATGGGGTGGGGGTGGTGTAAACAGGTCAGGGTGGCTTACCATGGGGTGGGGGTGGTGTAAATAGGTCAGGGTGGCTTACCATGGGGTGGGGGTGGTGTAAACAGGTCAGGGTGGCTTACCATGGGGTGGGGGTGGTGTAAACAGGTCAGGGTGGCTTACCATGGGGTGGGGGTGGTGTAAACAGGTCAGGGTGGCTTACCATGGGGTGGGGGTGGTGCAAACAGGTCAGGGTAGCTTACCATGGGTTGGGGGTGGTGTAAACAGGTCAGGCGAGGGGGGGTACTACGTATCACAGTGCTCCCCCTTGCAGTACTACCTGAGGGATCATAACGGGAGTGTGATTGAGCTGCATCAAGGGATCTGAACATGGTTGCCGGAAGCAGCATCAATGTTAGCGGTTTGGGTTCTTATGCCTGCCTTGGAGTCAGGGGAGGGTTTTGAGACGTCTCAAAACACTTTTTCATACACGCGGTTTGGGTTATTGTGCCTGCCTTGGAGTCAGGGGAGGGTTTTGAGACGTCTCAAAACACTTTTTCATACACGCGGTTTGGGTTATTGTGCCTGCCTTGGAGTCAGGGGAGGGTGAGTGGTTTGAGTTGAGGTCTGCTGGGGGGCGTAGATTCAGTCAGGGGAGGCGGTCAGAGCACCGTACTGTACCATGTCAGGGGAGGCGGTCAGAGCACCGCACCATGTCAGGGGAGGCGGTCAGAGCACCGTACTGTACCATGTCAAGGGAGGCGGTCAGAGCACTGTACCATGTCAGGGGAGGCGGTCAGAGCACCGCACCATGCATGTCACTCACAGTATTGCTACCTGATAAGCTGCCTGCCATGCGCGTTTTATGCAGGCGAGCCAGTCATAGTTGCCAACATGTCATCACGTCGTGGCTTTGAGAATCCAAAAAGAACAAAACTTTCTGGCGAGTCAGTCATAGGTGCTAACATAACATGTCATCAAGTCGCTGCTTCTGATGTGATCGGGACTGTTTCTAAGAGGCACGATTTGGGTTTTTTTTTATTGAGGGAAACATTAAAATTTTGTTTCTGCTCAACATGCTCCCCTTTCCCCTCGTCCTACCCCACCCGCTCAAGCCCAAGTTTTATGTGGTATTTGAGAATGGAAAAAAACAAGCGAAACGACATCAACTGGATGCCATCAATGCTCATCAACCTAGGTGGTTTCTGAACACTCTCGAAAACGATTTTGAGTCGCCTGAAGACGCGATCAATTTTTTAGGCGCCTCAAAATGCGAATTCTGGGGCGCAACCAAGATGCGATCAATGCTCATCAACTCTTTGAACCCCCACCCCCCCTCCCTCTCCCTTCTTCGCTAACCTCTTCTTTGTGCTACTTCTATCCATATTTGTTAAACTCCTGCTTTTCTCCCATTTGAGGCGCGTTGTCCCCCTTCATCATTTGTGTCAGTCCATCTGTCAGGTGCACACTCAAGGCTCCACGGCGCGAGTGATATTCTATAATGAAAATGGACAAAAGCACGCCTCGGACAGAAACCTCCTTCCTTTGTCTTGTCACTCTTTCGTTTCAGGTGCACATTCACGGAACCATGGTGCAAGCGATGCTGTATAGCATATCAAACTGGATACGCACATATACACGCCTCAAAAACGTCCTTCATTTGTGTCATCGCTCCATGTGTCAGGTGCACATCCAAGGAGCCACGGTGCGAGTGATGTTTGCAGTGGTGCTACCGGAGGGGCAGACGCCAGGGCTGTACATCATCATGGCCAAGGGGCAGGGCGGCAACGGTGACACGGGGGCTCTGGAGCCCCACAGCCCCTTCAACACCGCCCGCACCTACCTGCGTTTGGCAGGTGAGAGCTCAGGGCTCTTGGGTTTCAAATAATGTTGCCTGTGGTGCTACCGGGGGCTTTGGAGCCCCACAGCCCCTTCAACACCGCCCGCACCTACCTGCGCCTTGCAGGTGAGAGCTGAGGGTCAGGGGTTCGGGTGTGGGGATCAGGGATGTGATGTGAGCGAGGGGCAGGTGATATGAGGGTTTATCCCCCAGCAAGTTCAAGTGATGTTGACCGTGGTGGTAGCACCGAAGGGGCAGACGCCAGGGCTGTATGTCATCATGGCCAGGGCCAGGGCGGCAACGGTGACACGAGGGGGAAGGGAGGGGGTTGGTTGTAGTAGTACCGGGGGTGATGCTCACAGTGGTGCTACTGGGAGGAGGGGCAGACGCCAGGGCTGTACGTGATAATGGCCTAGGGCCAGGGTTGTACGTGATAATGGCCTAGGGCCAGGGCTGTACGTGATAATGGCCTAGGGCCAGGGCTGTACGTGATAATGGCCTAGGGCCAGGGCTGTACGTGATAATGGCCTAGGGCCAGGGCTGTACGTGATAATGGCCTAGGGCCAGGGCTGTACGTGATAATGGCCTAGGGCCAGGGCTGTACGTGATAATGGCCTAGGGCCAGGGCTGTACGTGATAATGGCCTAGGGCCAGGGCTGTACGTGATAATGGCCTAGGGCCAGGGCTGTACGTGATAATGGCCTAGGGCCAGGGCTGTACGTGATAATGGCCTAGGGCCAGGGCTGTACGTGATAATGGCCTAGGGCCAGGGCGGCAACGGTGACACGGGGGCTCTGGAGCCCCACAGCCCCTTCAACACCGCCCGCACCTACCTGCGCCTGGCTGGTGAGAGCTCAGAGGTCCGGGTTCAGGATGGGTGTTTGTGGGTGTGAGCAAGGGGCCGGTGAGGTGAGGGCCAAACGCCCAGCCGCCTGGCATGGCAGGTGAGTGCTACCGAAGGTGCAGACGCCAGGGCTGTACGTGATAATGGCCAAGGGGCAGGGCGGCCGCGGCAACGGTGACACGGGGGCTCTGGAGCCCCACAGCCCCTTCAACACCGCCCGCACCTACCTGCGCCTTGCAGGTGAGAGCTTAGGGTTCTAGGGTTTTCATGGTTTAGGGATTTAGGGCGTGTCTCCATTTTGCCCCCGATGGTTCGAACCGTGGACGGTCCGAACTGCGAAGAGGTTACCTGTTTCGCACAATTTTGTGATAGGTTTCGTGAAGGTATTTGCAACGTTGCCAACGGTTCGAACTGTCGCGTCACTTTTCCCTCCTCACAACGGTTGAGATTCTGAACCTTGCGCAGCTCAAAAAGCATGAGGCTACCTCTGCTTTGCTAACGGGATCGAACCCATATCCTCGTGCGCATGAGGATTCCTCACAACGGTTGAGATTCTGCACCTTCCGCAGCTCAAAAAGCAAACGGACGGTGCAGCAGTACTGACTAGAGATTGGCGCGCGAGAAATTTTTACAATACAAAATCAGATTGGCGCACGGAGTTTTGCAAAGAAAATGTCGTGATTTGTGTAACGACGATACATTGCCCATAACGAAGCCACAGTACTTCGTGAAATTCAGGGTTCAGAAAAAAGTGACAGAATTGCATCTGGACGGGGCAAAGTTCCGAAATGGCAATTCGGACAGTCCGGTCCTCGCTATTAGGACCGTCCGGTACCAAAAAAGAGAACCGTCCGGAAACATGCAAAAAAGCAAAATGGAGACACGCCCTTAGGGCGCTTCACCTCTCAGTTCGAACAGGACGGTTGTTCGAACAGGCGAAATGTTACATTTTTCGCCACTCCTCGTATGGATGTTCGTGACGTCGCTAGTCGGAAATTTCGCGAATTTGAACAGAGTTGTCACACGGGGCACGAAGCTCTCCATTCCGCACGTTCGAACAGAGTTGTTCGAACAAAGTTGGGTTTGGTGACAGGAATTCCGCATGGACGACTGATTTTATTGGTTAGCAGGCTTCGGGTCGCACTCGAATGTTTGCGACCATTGCAAATGTCGCCATGCAGGAGAAAGTTCATCAAAAAGGACATTGTTGTTGGGAAACAACAAGGTGAGCATTAGTAGAAGAGCACGAAGAGACTGTTTGACTGGATGGGCGAAAAATGAGTCAAACTTGAATGGCAGACGACAGAATTATTTTTTTGCGACGTTTCGCGAAGTCGTCCAGCACTTGGCGACGTCGCATGTTCGAACAGGCTGTCACCTCTAGTCACGAGCTGTCACATTCACCAAGGTGTTCAAATTTGTGTTCGGATCTCGTCGGGAAACTGTTCGTACAGTGAATTCGTTACGTATGTTCGGATTTGGGCCTTCCAGCCCCGAGGTGATGCGCCCTTAGCCCTTAGCAGCAGGGTCCCAGAGATGTTCGCAGTGGTGGTATCACAGGGGCAGACACCAGGGCTGTATGTGATTTGATCATGGGCAAGGGCGAAGGGGGTGATGCTGCCACAGGGGTCGGAGGGGGAGGTGGCTGTGGTAGCACCGGGGGTGCTCTTGGCTGTGGTGCAACCGGAGGGGCAGACGCCAGGGCCGTATGTCATTATTATGGCCAAGGGCATTTGAGTCGACTCAAAACCAGGGCCGTATGTCATTATTATGGCCAAGCAAGGGCAAGGCCCGAGGGGGGCAATGCCGCCATTGGGGGGGGCTTGGAGCCCCACTGTCCCGATTTTTTAGTCGACTCAAAAATAGGCTCTTCACCATTGGGGGGGGCTTGGAGCCCCACTGTCCCGTCAACACCTCCCGAACTTACCTTGTCAACCTCGTCGCCTGAAGTGTTTTTTGAGAATTCTCAAAAAACACGTCGCCTGCAGTGCAGCCTGCTCCTTCCCATCGGCATGCTGCTGGCCCGCTCAACCTGATTCCCACCTCCCAATCCTGTCTTTTAATCTCCTTCCCTGCCTCTGACTCTCCCACCGCCCAATCGTGTCTCCCATCCCACCCCCCAACCCTTGCTCACCCCCTTTCCGCATTCTCTCCCACCTGCTCTGCTCCCACCCTCTCAGGTGCCGGACCCCCCCAGTGGCTGCAAGCAGCACACGGCTTGGTGAACCTCGTTGCCTGGGGCGGGGCCTCCTTCTCCCCATCAGCATGTTACTCGCCCGCCACCTCCCCTTACCCACTTCCCTGCCTTCTCACTCCTGCTTTCTCTCCCCCTTGCCCTGCCCTTGCCCCCTCTCAGGTGCCGGACCCCCCCAGTGGTTGCAAGCAGCGCATGGCCTGGTCAACCTCCTCGCCTGGGCCCTGCTCCTCCCCATCGGCATGCTACTCGCCCGGCAGACTCATCAATTCCCTTTCCTTCATTCCCGTATCTTCCCCTACCTACAGGTGCCGGACCCCCCCAGTGGTTGCAAGCAGCACACGGCCTGGTCAACCTGCTCGCCTGGGCCCTGCTCCTCCCCATCGGCATGCTACTCGCGCGCCACCTCTCCTTCACAGCCCCAATGATGCCTTTTCTTTTCCTGCCCTTGCTCCCTTCCAGGTGCCGGACCCCCCCAGTGGCTGCAAGCAGCACACGGCTCGGTCAACCTGCTCGCCTGGGGTCTCATCCTCCCATGCTCCTCGCCCGGCAGACTCATCAATTCCCTTTCCTTCATTCCCGTATTTTCCCCTACCTACAGGTGCCGGACCCCCCCAGTGGCTGCAAGCAGCACACGGCCTGGTAAACCTGCTCGCCTGGGGTCTCATCCTCCCAATCGGCATGCTCCTCGCCCGCCACCTCCCCCAACTCGACCCCTCCTCTTCCTCCTCCTCCGCCTCCGCCTCCTCCGCCCCCTCCTCCGCCTTCCCCTTCCCCTTCCCCTCATCCTCCGTGGCGGTGGTAACCAGTGGGCCTGGAACCCCCTCCTGGGTGAAGCTGCATAGGATGGTGCAGGCGGGGGGGTATGCTTTGGGCGCGTTTGGGTTTTTTCTCGGGCTGCTGATGTGGGGGGATGCCCATGAGGGGCATGTGCGCCTGAGGGGCGTGGGGGGGGAGGAGGCGGGCGAGTTTGACCCGGGGGCTCACAGGCGATACGGCATCACCCTCTTCATCCTCGCTTCTTTCCAGGTGGGTGTTCCCTTCCGCTTACCCTCATCCCCTTATCCTCCGTCGCTGTGGTAACCTCCGGGCCGGGGCACGCATGTGCAACTCAGGGGTGTGGGGGGGGAGGAGACGAGGGAGGTTGACCCAGGGGCGAGGGAGGTTGACCCAGGGGCGACGGAGGTTGACCCAGGGGCGCAGCGCAGCAGCGGTACGGCATCACGCTGTTCGTGCTCGCTTCCTTCCAGGTGGGTGTCGTGCTCGCTTCCTTCCGGGTGGGTGTCGTGCTCGCTTCCTTCCAGGTGGGTGTTTTGACCCTTCCTTCCAGGTGGGTGTTTTGACCCTTCCTTCCAGGTGGGTGTTTTGATTGACCCTTCCTTCCAGGTGGGTGTTTTGACCCTTCTTTCCAGGTGGGTGTTTTGACCCTTCCTTCCAGGTGGGTGTTTTGACCCTTCCTTCCAGGTGGGTGTTTTGACCCTTCCTTCCAGGTGGGTGTTTTGATTGACCCTTCCTTCCAGGTGGGTGTTTTGACCCTTCCTTCCAGGTGGGTCTTTTGACCCTTCCTTCCAGGTGGGTGTTTTGACCCTTCCTTCCAGGTGGGTGTTTTGACCCTTCCTTCCAGGTGGGTGTTTTGACCCTTCCTTCCAGGTGGGTGTTTTGATTGACCCTTCCTTCCAGGTGGGTGTTTTGACCCTTCCTTCCAGGTGGGTGGTTTGACCCTTCCTTCCAGGTGGGTGTTTTGACCCTTCCTTCCAGGTGGGTGTTTTGACCCTTCCTTCCAGGTGGGTGTTTTGACCCTTCCTTCCAGGTGGGTGTTTTGACCCTTCCTTCCAGGTGGGTGTTTTGACCCTTCCTTCCAGGTGGGTGTTTTGACCCTTCCTTCCAGGTGGGTGTTTTGACCCTTCCTTCCAGGTGGGTGTTTTGACCCTTCCTTCCAGGTGGGTGTTTTGATCCTTCCTTCCAGGTGGGTGTTTTGACCCTTCCTTCCAGGTGGGTGGTTTGACCCTTCCTTCCAGGTGGGTGTTTTGACCCTTCCTTCCAGGTGGGTGTTTTGACCCTTCCTTCCAGGTGGGTGTTTTGACCCTTCCTTCCAGGTGGGTGTTTTGACCCTTCCTTCCAGGTGGGTGGTTTGACCCTTCCTTCCAGGTGGGTGTTTTGACCCTTCCTTCCAGGTGGGTGTTTTGATTGACCCTTCCTTCCAGGTGGGTGTTTTGACCCTTCTTTCCAGGTGGGTGTTTTGGCCCTTCCTTCCAGGTGGGTGTTTTGACCCTTCCTTCCAGGTGGGTGTTTTGACCCTTCCTTCCAGGTGGGTGTTTTGACCCTTCCTTCCAGGTGGGTGTTTTGATTGACCCTTCCTTCCAGGTGGGTGTTTTGACCCTTCCTTCCAGGTGGGTGTTTTGACCCTTCCTTCCAGGTGGGTGTTTTGATTGACCCTTCCTTCCAGGTGGGTGTTTTGACCCTTCCTTCCAGGTGGGTGTTTTGACCCTTCCTTCCAGGTGGGTGTTTTGACCCTTCCTTCCAGGTGGGTGTTTTAACCCTTCCTTCCAGGTGGGTGTTTTGGCCCTTCCTTCCAGGTGGGTGTTTTGACCCTTCCTTCCAGGTGGGTGTTTTGATTGACCCATCCTTCCAGGTGGGTGTTTTGACCCTTCCTTCCAGGTGGGTGTTTTGACCCTTCCTTCCAGGGTGTTTTGACCCTTCCTGCCAGGTGGGTGTTTTGGCCCTTCCTGCCAGGTGGGTGTTTTGACCCTTCCTTCCAGGTGGGTGTTTTGACCCTTCCTTCCAGGTGGGTGTTTTGACCCTTCCTTCCAGGTGGGTGTTTTGATTGACCCTTCCTTCCAGGTGGGTGTTTTGACCCTTCCTTCCAGGTGGGTGTTTTGACCCTTCCTTCCAGGTGGGTGTTTTGACCCTTCCTTCCAGGTGGGTGTTTTGATTGACCCATCCTTCCAGGTGGGTGTTTTGACCCTTCCTTCCAGGTGGGTGTTTTGACCCTTCCTTCCAGGGTGTTTTGACCCTTCCTGCCAGGTGGGTGTTTTGGCCCTTCCTTCCAGGTGGGTGTTTTGACCCTTCCTTCCAGGTGGGTGTTTTGACCCTTCCTTCCAGGTGGGTGTTTTGATTGACCCTTCCTTCCAGGTGGGTGTTTTGACCCTTCCTTCCAGGTGGGTGTTTTGACCCTTCCTTCCAGGTGGGTGTTTTGACCCTTCCTTCCAGGTGGGTGTTTTAACCCTTCCTTCCAGGTGGGTGTTTTAACCCTTCCTTCCAGGTGGGTGTTTTGACCCTTCCTTCCAGGTGGGTGGTTTGACCCTTCCTTCCAGGTGGGTGTTTTGACCCTTCCTTCCAGGTGGGTGTTTTGACCCTTCCTTCCAGGTGGGTGTTTTGATTGACCCATCCTTCCAGGTGGGTGTTTTGACCCTTCCTTCCAGGTGGGTGTTTTGATTGACCCTTCCTTCCAGGTGGGTGTTTTGACCCTTCCTTCCAGGTGGGTGTTTTGATTGACCCTTCCTTCCAGGTGGGTGTTTTGACCCTTCCTTCCAGGTGGGTGTTTTGACCCTTCCTTCCAGGTGGGTGTTTTGACCCTTCCTTCCAGGTGGGTGTTTTGATTGACCCATCCTTCCAGGTGGGTGTTTTGACCCTTCCTTCCAGGTGGGTGTTTTGATTGACCCTTCCTTCCAGGTGGGTGTTTTGACCCTTCCTTCCAGGGTGTTTTGACCCTTCCTGCCAGGTGGGTGTTTTGGCCCTTCCTTCCAGGTGGGTGTTTTGACCCTTCCTTCCAGGTGGGTGTTTTGACCCTTCCTTCCAGGTGGGTGTTTTGATTGACCCTTCCTTCCAGGTGGGTGTTTTGACCCTTCCTTCCAGGTGGGTGTTTTGATTGACCCTTCCTTCCAGGTGGGTGTTTTGACCCTTCCTTCCAGGTGGGTGTTTTGACCCTTCCTTCCAGGTGGGTGTTTTGACCCTTCCTTCCAGGTGGGTGTTTTGACCCTTCCTTCCAGGTGGGTGTTTTGACCCTTCCTTCCAGGTGGGTGTTTTGACCCTTCCTTCCAGGTGGGTGTTTTGACCCTTCCTTCCAGGTGGGTGTTTTGATTGACCCTTCCTTCCAGGTGGGTGTTTTGACCCTTCCTTCCAGGTGGGTGTTTTGATTGACCCTTCCTTCCAGGTGGGTGTTTTGACCCTTCCTTCCAGGTGGGTGTTTTGACCCTTCCTTCCAGGTGGGTGTTTTGACCCTTCCTTCCAGGTGGGTGTTTTGATTGACCCATCCTTCCAGGTGGGTGTTTTGACCCTTCCTTCCAGGTGGGTGTTTTGATTGACCCTTCCTTCCAGGTGGGTGTTTTGACCCTTCCTTCCAGGGTGTTTCGACCCTTCCTGCCAGGTGGGTGTTTTGGCCCTTCCTTCCAGGTGGGTGTTTTGACCCTTCCTTCCAGGTGGGTGTTTTGACCCTTCCTTCCAGGTGGGTGTTTTGACCCTTCCTTCCAGGTGGGTGTTTTGACCCTTCCTTCCAGGTGGGTGTTTTGACCCTTCCTTCCAGGTGGGTGTTTTGACCCTTCCTTCCAGGTGGGTGTTTTGATTGACCCTTCCTTCCAGGTGGGTGTTTTGACCCTTCCTTCCAGGTGGGTGTATTGACCCTTCCTTCCAGGTGGGTGTTTTGACCCTTCCTTCCAGGTGGGTGTTTTGACCCTTCCTTCCAGGTGGGTGTTTTGACCCTTCCTTCCAGGTGGGTGTTTTGATTGACCCATCCTTCCAGGTGGGTGTTTTGACCCTTCCTTCCAGGTGGGTGTTTTGATTGACCCTTCCTTCCAGGTGGGTGTTTTGACCCTTCCTTCGAGGTGGGTGTTTTGACCCTTCCTTCCAGGTGGGTGTTTTGACCCTTCCTTCCAGGTGGGTGTTTTGATTGACCCTTCCTTCCAGGTGGGTGTTTTGACCCTTCTTTCCAGGTGGGTGTTTTGACCCTTCCTTCCAGGTGGGTGTTTTGACCCTTCCTTCCAGGTGAGTGTTTTGATTGACCCTTCCTTCCAGGTGGGTGTTTTGACCCTTCCTTCCAGGTGGGTGTTTTGACCCTTCCTTCCAGGTGGGTGTTTTGACCCTTCCTTCCAGGTGGGTGTTTTGATTGACCCATCCTTCCAGGTGGGTGTTTTGACCCTTCCTTCCAGGTGGGTGTTTTGATTGACCCTTCCTTCCAGGTGGGTGTTTTGACCCTTCCTTCCAGGGTGTTTTGACCCTTCCTGCCAGGTGGGTGTTTTGACCCTTCCTTCCAGGTGGGTGTTTTGACCCTTCCTTCCAGGTGGGTGTTTTGATTGACCCTTCCTTCCAGGTGGGTGTTTTGACCCTTCCTTCCAGGTGGGTGTTTTGATTGACCCTTCCTTCCAGGTGGGTGTTTTGACCCTTCCTTCCAGGTGGGTGTTTTGACCCTTCCTTCCAGGTGGGTGTTTTGACCCTTCCTTCCAGGTGGGTGTTTTGACCCTTCCTTCCAGGTGGGTGTTTTGACCCTTCCTTCCAGGTGGGTGTTTTGACCCTTCCTTCCAGGTGGGTGTTTTGATTGACCCTTCCTTCCAGGTGGGTGTTTTGACCCTTCCTTCCAGGTGGGTGTTTTGACCCTTCCTTCCAGGTGGGTGGTTTGACCCTTCCTTCCAGGTGGGTGTTTTGACCCTTCCTTCCAGGTGGGTGTTTTGACCCTTCCTTCCAGGTGGGTGTTTTGACCCTTCCTTCCAGGTGGGTGTTTTGACCCTTCCTTCCAGGTGGGTGTTTTGATTGACCCATCCTTCCAGGTGGGTGTTTTGACCCTTCCTTCCAGGTGGGTGTTTTGATTGACCCTTCCTTCCAGGTGGGTGTTTTGACCCTTCCTTCGAGGTGGGTGTTTTGACCCTTCCTTCCAGGTGGGTGTTTTGACCCTTCCTTCCAGGTGGGTGTTTTGATTGACCCTTCCTTTCAGGTGGGTGTTTTGACCCTTCTTTCCAGGTGGGTGTTTTGACCCTTCCTTCCAGGTGGGTGTTTTGACCCTTCCTTCCAGGTGGGTGTTTTAACCCTTCCTTCCAGGTGGGTGTTTTGGCCCTTCCTTCCAGGTGGGTGTTTTGACCCTTCCTTCCAGGTGG